CAAACATCCATGACTCTGATACCAATGTAATAATTTACGTAACATGGATAAAATTGTGTACATGTTAACAACAACGGATTAATAATTGAATCTTGTGAAAGAGTTGCGCCAAGTCCGACTTTGAGTCTCAAGGAATCATAGTTTATGATTCACAAATTAAATCTCTAATTGTTTGTTGATGTTCTCAAAAAAGAAAGAATTTTTTTTCTGTTTCTGTTTTCTATTCTTTTCTTCACTCTCTTCAAGCATAAAAGAAAAAACTTAATTTAAAAAGGAGAACATATTAACGCTGGAACAGTTAATATTTATTTTCTTTTTTTTATTCAGAAAAAAAATCTTGGGTTGGATTGGGTCAAGTCGGGTCAATCCACATGGGCGACCCACAATCTAAAACTTACATTTTTTATTTTAACACCATAAACGACATCCAAAATTCACCCTTTCTCGCTTGTAGTCAGCGAGATGTTAATTAATTAGCTTTTTTTATATTGAAAAACGCTGCTCCTATAGCGATTTCCTTGAATTATTTTTATTTTTTTAAAACTTGCTTATCATGTAGTGATGATCAGTTCATTATTTGTTTTTAATTTTTAAATGTGACATTTATCTTAACACACACATATGTACTCTTTCGTAATATATTGTCTGGCTGACATAACCCTATTAACATACACATACTAATGAGTAATCATTAAATTTTGATTACTCCCTTGGATTCTTTACAAAGCCCATTCCTCCAATTATTTGTTGCCAATATAATTTATCTCCAATTATGAGTAACTTGCTTCAGAGCTAAAGAATGTCACAATTCTTTTCTTAAAACAAAAATTGTCGAAATGGTCTGTTGAATCCTTATACATGTATGAGTTTGTATTTTGAACCCTCTTACTTTATATTTTTTCAACTGGGCCATTAAACTTATTAAAAAATAATATTTGAAACCCCTCTAACCATTGACCAAACCTATGTGGCATAAATATTGTTGAGTTGGAAAAATGTGTAAATGCACTCGCTTCCAAACGCATCAATACACTATTTTCTATTTAAAAACATTTTTTTTGGAAAACAATATTTTTTAATTAAAAAAAATTATTTCTTCATTAACCCTCTCCCACCCCAATTTCTCCACCACTCTTCCAACCCATAACCCTAAACTTTCTTCTCTTCTTCTTCAACAAAATCACCCACATCCATTCTCTTTTATTTTCTTTGAAATCACCCGTCATATAATTTTTTTCTTCTTCTTCTTCAACCCACTCTCCTCTTTGCAAAAAATCAACCCCCCGCCCAATTTCTTTTTTCAACCCCCTTTATCTAAATTTTTAGTGGTTTTTTATTTTAAAAGTTGAAATCATTATTTGTGTTGGATTTAAAGAGAATGTATGATATGAATTAACATAAAGAGTGATGGTGGATATTGAAAAAAGTTGAAAACTCCATTGATAAGTTTGAGAAAACTTGAGGAATAACAAATTAGTCTTATGAATTTGTAAAATTAATTCAAATTTGTGATTGTGGCTAGTAGGATTTGTGTTTATGAACTTCTAGTTGAAATTCAATTCAAATAAAGAAAAATTTCATCTATTTGACATGAATTTTGTGCTCAAATTGTGAGCATATATGGAGATTGAAAAACATGGCTATTTAAAAATGGTGAAATGATCTGATGGACCCTTATACTTGTATGTGTTTGTATTCTGGACCCTTCTACTCAGCTCTTTGTCAAGTGAACCCTCAAACTCAATTAAAATAAGATATTTAAACCCCTTCGACCATGTTGTAGCTCACTCTCCCTTACATAAATGGCATGTCATATCCACATCAGATATATTAATGTCATGCATAATTATTTCATAAATATTTTAAAATTATTAACTAAAAATGTTACTTGATAAAAGATAAAAGAAAAAAAAAGTTTTCTATTTAGAAAATAAAATAAAATAGTTATTTCTCTCACCTTTCCTCCACCTCCCTCAACACACAACCACCATTAACACCATCTCCAATTGCCTTAATTTTTTCTTCTTCAGGCCGTCATTGTCTATAGCTGTGACGAAGCTCTTCAAGTTCTTAAAAATCATAGTTCGATTCTTTCTCAGTTTTCATCAGTCGCAACTCTTAATCGTACTTTTTTTTACCAACGTCTTCATCCACCTTTTGAACCACCATAAATTCCTTTTCTCCGTATCAATGAATCATCATTAAAATACCTCAATATAGCATAATATTTATACACAACTTTACATAACACATTTAACCTAATTTTATAAAGACAACCAACAATCTCTTTTCATCCTTCAAGACTATCGAATATTTCTCACCTGATGGATTGTAAATTACAAGAAAAATGAAAAGACAACACAGATCTACAATAATACCACATTTTCATTTCTCTAGAAAGAAAGAAAATATGAAAAAAAATGAAAGAGAGAAAAGAAATTGAACAGGCTGGGAAGGGGAGAAAGTGAGAAATGAGGTTTGGATGGGGAAGAAGGTACTGGTAATTAGAAAGAGAGAAAGAAATGGTTGGGGTGGGGTGGGAAAGGAATAAACAAGTGAAAAAATAAATTATATTCAATTTTCTTATTTTTAGTCTTTTTTAACATTATTATTATTTTTAGTCTAAATTTTGATATTCACGTTCCTTTAACGCGTGAAATCACGTGTTTGTGCCAACTTAACAGTTAAGTTGCCACATAAGCTTGGTCAATGGTCGAATATTGAGATCATTAAGTTTAAGGGTTCAGTTGACAAATGGTAAAATAGAATGGTCCATAATACAAATTCATATAAGTAGAGGGATCCACTAGACATGGAATTACACATGTAAGAGGTTGAATTACACACATAGTGATCTGATGAGAAAAGAGTTTAAAATATTGTGTTTTAATGAGTTTAAGGGTTTAATTGACAAAGTGTTAAGTAAGACGGTTCAGAATACAAACGCATACAAGTATAAGGGTCTATCAGACCATTTCGCCAAAAAATTTTAATGAACTCGCTACCCCTGCAACGAGTTTTTTTAAAAAAAAATAAAAAATTCAAGAAAATTGTTGTCGGGCAGTGATTTTACAATAAAAAATAAATTAATCAATTAACATCTCGCTGATTGAGTAGTGAGAGGGTGAATTTTTTGGATGTTGTTAACGGTGTTAAAATAAAAAAGAATCAGTTGTCCGTTGTGGTGTTAAAAATATTTCAATATTCCTTTATGCATTTTAAAATAAAAAATGACCCTTTTGGCTCGAGACTCCTACATTAGTGATGCAACATTTAAAGGATCGCCTAGATAGTCCATTCCAATATGACAAACTTCACCTATAAAAGCAATGATTTTCAATATTTAACAGGAAAAGGGCATTGATATATCCAACTTTATTATTTAGAGTTGATACATTTCTTGTTATAAAAGTGATTCGCATATACTTCTACGATTACGAAATTGACTCATATATATATATATATATACACTTACTGTTACAAAAGCCGCTCACATATATATACTCCTACCGTTATAATAGTGATAAAATTAATTTTAAATTATTCTTTTAAAAATAATAATAATCATGTATTTGATCTTCTTCAAACTTAAATTATTTTTTTAACTTCTTTGATTATTATTATTTGAGTTTCTTATTCTTGTTTATTTTTTCTTATATTCTGTAGTGTAAAAATAAGAGGAAATAAATGTGAATGGAAAGAGAGAAAAAAAGTAAGAAATTTTTTTTAAAAAAATTTCCGGCTATATTATTAATGGAATTAATGATATTAACATGTTACTTGTTAGTTGTGCTTGCTTATTTTAAAATTTGTTCTTTATATGTTTTTTATTTTATTTTGATAGATTAAGTTAAAAAGGCATAACTCAATTCATAATGTGCACAAAATTTATTTAAAGTATATCTTAATATTAAATTTTTTTAATTAGATTTATTATTATATGTAAATAAAAATTATGTGAAATACATCAAATATATTTTTATATGGATGATTTTTTTATAAGAAAAAAATTTAAAATTAATTTTTTCACTTCCTTTAGAAAAAAAAGATACATGCGAGCTATTTGCAGACGTGGAGCTAAGCGGGGTTTGTGGGTTCAGACGAACCCGCTAGTCTTTTCATAGACCTTATATTTGTATTAGAAAATTAAATAAATATAGGGAAAATTACATAAATCACATACTTTTAAGGCAAAATTACAATTTATCCCTTAAAAGTTTATAATTACAGAAATCCCTCAAATGGATACAATAATATAAGCGTTGATACATTAATCTAATGCGCGAGATACAATAATATAAGCGCTAATACATTAATCTGATGCACGAGATACAATAATATAAACGCTGATACATTAATTTGATGTGCGAGTTACAATAATATAAGCGTTGATACATTAATCTGATGCGCGAGATACAATAATATAAGCGTTGATACACTAATCTGACACGCGAAAATGAGGAATTTTGGAGATTTGTAAAACTTATAGAGGATAATGGTAATAAGTAAACTAAAAGGTGGGATTTCTGTAATTTTTTCATAAATATATATGTATATTAACTTGCGAATCCTCTAATAAAATTAATTGACAACTCAATAGTAAGAAAAGATAGTAAAAATACTTTTCACAATAGTTTGTGGGTTCGAACCCTCCTATCAATAAAAATTTCTATTTATATGGATATATATATATAAGACACTCTCATGTGAATGACCCTGAGTATATATAGTTGCATCACCATCTAAGTGTAGTGTACCTTAGGCTTCAATACTTTTTCCATAACTTGTAGGAAATTAAAGATTTTACAAATTTATACACAAGAAAAAGGTTATTTTCCTAATAGAAGGACAAATAAGAAAAAGTAGCGATATTTCAAGCAGGAGATGTCACTAATTAATAGGCAACGAATGACAAGTGATTTTTCTTGTATGGATCGTATTTCAAAGGATATAAAGAAAATAAAACCCGAAGCAACGCGAGTAAATTTCTTAAATATAATACTGCAAATATTATTTGCACTTGTATAATGACAAACAGTACTCCAACAAGAAAGGAAAACATTCAAACAATTACAGTGGAACAATCCTTATTTATGCAATCAGCCTCAACGTTAACTAGCTGATGCATCACTAGGAAACATTAATTAATTAAACAACACGTAAACGAGTACCATTTTTGGGTAAGTAATTACTTAATTGAGTGGGGGAATAAGTTGAAAAACACCAGTAGCTATATTAAGAAGTCCACCAGCAGTTCCCCCAACAATCTGCAAAGGTGCCTGCAGAACCCCAACGGATGGTAAGGTAGCATTACATGTTGAGAGCGGAGTTGTAATCACTATGTTGCAGTTAGACAACAATGATGATACTAATAAATTTTGTAGAGGATTCAACAAGAGCGAAAACGCTCCTGATCCATTTGTTGTTGTACTTGATACTACATTTCCACCTCCACACCGCAATTGCACCGATGCATCTGCAATGTTTAAACCATATACTTATATATGTTACTAAAATTTGTTTGGATCGCATGCACCTGCTTAAGATCGATATAACTCATCTTTAAACTTGATGAAACTAGTTCACTATTCATAACCGTTGAAAATATAATTAACTACTCTCTCTAACGACTTAAGTTTTAAGATCAGATGATTACACGCTTCAACATGGTATTAGAGACGAATAAATTATGTGTTAAAGTATTTATAGAAAATTTGGATTATTTATGATAAAAAAAAGTATAATAATATATTATTTTAACCACTTTAACATTTTTGGTACTTTGTTAAAATTAAGAATTAATAGTAAAAAGTGTTGATCTAAGTGAATTACAAATTCTTTTTTATTTGTTTTAAAATTTTAAGTTTCAAGCACTACAACAAGCATATTAAAATGGGGTATACCAAGTCATCAACTTCTTCAGATTCTATAGTTCTAACCCTTATCTTTAATTATTTAATATTTGTCAACTTATTACTTATAGAATTATGTTAACAATTCATATAATAATTACCTCACTGAAATGATGTTTTTCAATGTTGAGTTGATCAAATCTTACCTAAAACTACAATATTAAATATTAATAATTGTAATCTAAATAGTGTAAGAAAAATAAAATTTGAATAAATATGTATACGAAGTTTGTTTATATTTTAGGCCTCGAATTGAAATTTCATTTTAGGCCCCCCAATTACGTTGAGCCGCCCCTGATTAGAGCAGGCCGAGGTCCTGCGATCAAATCTAACGGTCACACATATTAAAAATAATTTTCATGAAAAAGAATTAGGCCCACATGTGAGGGGGTTAAGCGGGTTAAGCTAAGATGGTCACACACTTCAACACTAACGACTTAATTCTTACATGTGACACTTACAAAATAAGAAACTTACTAGGGAAAATTGGTGTGGTGGCTCCATTGAGGACATCTATTTTGCCGTTAAGGCTACAAAATAGAACCCCGCCTATACTTATTGGGCCAAGAAGGCCACCCAGAAGTCCTCCTAATTGGGCTACTGCAACAGGGGTTGCAATTAATGCAGCCAAAATGAAAATCAAGAAAAATTTTGATGAGGCCATGACAATGTGTGATATAGCTAATTAATTAAGTTGTTGTGAGAAATTGTGTTGTACGAATTTAGGTGTGTGTATTATGATCAATTTATAGGAAAAGTAATGGTAAATTTAGTGGCTGAAATTTCAATATCCTAATCCACTTGTTGTGAAAGTGGCTAATATTTCTTTAGCATGTATGTATGAATGAAGTAAATTGAAGTCAGAAGAGGCAATTTGGCTGTTTTTGTCTGTGTTGAGAGAATTAGCTATTTGATCAAATATAACTTTGCGTACAGTTCATTGCTATATTAGATTCCAATTTTTTTGGGTGGTGGTCACCCTAGATAGCTATATAACTATAATTTCCTCGAATCTTCAATAGCATGCTTATTTTGACCTTTTTTTAATTTTCTTGAGCATGCGTATGTGAATATGGTCCAATGGGTTAATTAGTAACTACATACTACATCAAGGCACCTCTAACAACTTTCGAGTTTTGCATTAACATTATCCCTTATTTTTGGAGTATACGTAGGTTCATTTTAATAACAGTTCTTCAAATATAAGTTGAACATTTTTAATATCCTGACTTTGCTAAAGTAGAGCACTTTCGATCTTCTTAACATAAAAGTAATGGTGTTAAACTCATGTGACACCCATGTGACTTGTAAAATATAAAATTCATTGGACAAATTCTTTCAGCTTTTCTAAGTTGTGTTGTCGCACCTTAAGGAAAAATGGTTACTGTTTTCGAGTGGGACAGATTGTTCCGCTCTACCTCTAAATTATTGTCTTTTGAAATAAATATCTACTACTATATTAATCCTAAGAATGGAAGAAGGCATGAAGAAATAAAATATGCATCAATCAAGAAAGAGATAGCATTGGTAGTTGAAATTTGCACCATTAGAAAAATTATTCTTGCCGTTAGTTTTTAATATTGTTATGTTAGGGAGACCAAAAGCGCTTCACTTTAGCAAAGTTAAGGAATTAAAATGCTTAGGTTATATATTTGAAAGACCAAAATGAACCTACTCCTATAGATAATGGATAATTTTAGCCCAAAACTCAAAAACTTTATTTCAATTTGAATTGCATACAAATTTTCTGTGAAATGACAAGTTATTAGCAGAGCTGAAAATTCAAAGAGAATTGAAAAAATTCAGAAACCACTAAAAAAATATTTTAATTTGAGGATTACTGATTACAAGGAAATTAAGTGTATGTTTTGACTTGATTTGATGAGATTGTCATCAATAAAAGGTGTATATATAGGGAAAAATCTTGAGGGAGTACTAGTATTTGGTGATATGTTGGGTTAGGCAGAGGCAGCATAGACTTTATATATAATTCTATATAGTGTTGTTAGTTAGCCTTCCCAAATGTTGGTTTTAGGAACATTCATATGATCTTATTAGTAGAGATGTTTTCTAAAAGTAGTTATTCATAGATGAAGTTTGGATCAACCAGATTTGGTGGACAATTCATTCAAATTGATTAAATCATTTCTTTAATTTTTTTAAACTAATACTCTTCTATATTGGATGGCATTATGGCATCAATACATGTCTAAAGTTAATTACATCTAGGAAGCTGAACTAACAATTAAGCATCTCAAATGATTCAGTCACAATCTTTCAACAACTTTCCCTATACATACTCTTTTAGTAAATGATCAATCTCACTCAAATTAAAATAGAATTTGTTGGAATGTATGCGTCCATGACTATCGATGGGACCAGGTCCTCAACACAGTTATAATAACAGACAGTAAAATAAATACTGAAAGTAAAGATTGCATAAATAACTTTACGTGGAAACCTCCTTACTCAAGTGAGTAAATACACGACCTGACCTGCCAGGACTTTTCAAACTGCTTTCACTAGTCTTCTCCAAGCAAAAGTAAGAAGCAGTTTACAAAATGAGATTAGCCTGCTAATCTCCACACTAAGCAATACCTCATATCACTTAGTTGAGCTAGAGCAGCTACAACACTGCCTACTAAGCTATCACCCCTAGATAACTTAGACTTTTCTAAGCGGATACCACACCGCCCACTAAATCAACTAGCTCCTAGATGACTTAGAATTTGACTAAGCAGCAAAACAATGTTGCCCACTAAACCAGTTAAACTCAATTGATTTAGGCTTTAGAAACCGAACAAAAAATCCTTTATAACATAGGAATAGATTTACAATTTAAGCACATAAGATACACAACTCTAAATACAACAAGACACTTCAATACTCCATTTGGTCCCTTGTTGATATGAGCAGTGTTCTTCACTGAAGATGGCCTTCTCTTTTCAAGCTTGTGAATTTTCAGAGAAAATTCAAGTTTTATTTGCCAAATCTTGAGTTTGTGTTTGTTGGAAAGAGATAATATATTGAAAGTGAACACAAACTCCTTGAGCCAATCTCATTGGCTGAAGGTCTGCTGTTAGAAAAGTTGTGCACCTGCCGTAGCAGCTTTTTTGACGTATCAGCTTTTTTGACAGTTGTCTTTTCACCTTTCCATATCGCAGTCTTGCAGGGACCATGTCCTTTGCAAACTTCTTTATGAGTTCTTGAAAGGTTTGTTGGCCGACTTCCTTCTTTGGATGAATGAATTAATTATGGTGTTTTTCATGTATAAAATATCAACCATAAAGAATTATTACCCATTGGACAAACACCCTCCTCTGTTCTGATTGGTGTAGTACGCTGACGCCTCACCAACCTCTGACACGACAACTTTACAGCTGTACCCCATTATGCATCTGATGGAGATGATAGAGAAAACTCTGTTGGGGACCAGGTCCCTACATTTGTGAGACACTGAAACAGACAATCTCGTCCGCCCTTCCTATTGGTGTAGGACACTGCACTTTTCACCTACCACCTGACGTGACAGTTTTACAGTTGTACCTCATTTGAATCTGGACGAGAGTACTCTGCCGGGGACCAGATCCTTGCATTTGTGAGGATCATCAAAACACCTAGAATATAACATTTTCCCCCTTTTTGATGATTACACACAAATATTCCTCACACTAAGTGTATTCATTCACTTCCATGTCAGCAGTCCCAGTAGCAAAGATCTGGTTCCTTGTTAAATCGATAAGTTTGTTAAATCATCAAAACTTCATATCAACTTCGAACTAACATTTCCCCCCTTTTTGATGATAACATACTTATTCACCAGTTCCCCCTATCAACAAGAACTCTTCGGGTAACTGGAGTTTTATCATCCCCAAAGTTTGTCAAATCATCAAAACATCAAAATAACATTTTCCCCCTTTTTGATGATGACAAACTTGTTCAACTTATTCCCCCTACCGGCATGACCACCTCCTTTTGAAGTAGCTAGCATTGATTTATTCCCCCTATCAGCAAGATCATGTCATCTTCAAGTAGTTAGCATTTATTCCCCATATCGGCATGACCATGTCTCCTTCAAGTAGCTAACATCATTGATCTCATACCTTAATAACAATTTTCCCCCTTTTGACATCATAAAAAAAGGTTAAAGCAATAAACCAAGTTGATAGAAATGCAGTTCAAGCAAATTCATGGCCACTTGGGCAACACTGAGCATGGGTAAGAAGGCATAAAGTAATGAGACAAGTCAGTAGAAGAAAGACATGTTTTCATCCATAAATAAAATATTAGCCATCAAAGCATTGCAAATATGACTACGAATGAAAACCAAAACAATGCCACTTAGGTTCGATAGAAAAAGAGGAATGAAGACTGACTTAGAAAGATAAGAAGAGAAGGGATGACTTAGAGGCAAGAGATTTGAAAGAATAGAATTAGTAGAGCATATCCCTTATCATGGTATTTTCAGAAGCCTCATTTGAAGTTCACGTTCTTTGCTGCCCAGGCTTCATGTTGAACCTTCAGGGCTTCCATTTTTCAGTTTTTTTTTTCAACCTGGTCCCTCTGATAGTGTTGTTTCAGAAGCTGAGCTTTTAGGTAAACTATTTCAGTATCCCTGCTAGCAAGATCAACTATCACAACTTCCAACACTAGCATGAGTTTCTCATAACAGAAAGATTGGTAAAATCAAACTTACTCAAGGCATCCGAGATGAATAGACGAGGAACCAAATTTTTTTTTTTTTAGACACCCTCCTATATATTCAGAATACTTTGAGTTCTCAGAATATCAACCTTTTCCCTTTTTGAGCATCATCTTTCTCACAATCTTCTTTTTGCTTGGTGGACCCGGTCCCTCTTCACACTTGAAAACATCTTCATCAAAAAGTTCTTCAGTAAGAACAGAGGGTTTAACCATTTGAAGTGTTTTTTTTTTGAAAAAGGATAAAAGAAGATTACGAAAAAAATTTGATATTTTGGAAGGGGATTTGAAAAGAAATATGGAGTATAAAGGAAGAGAAAGGAAGTGTCATTTTGGTACTCAAATGATGAGACAACAATTAGATACCTGAATGACAGACATGTGGATATTGCAACAGTTCTCATGCATAATTCAAACTGCAATGTTAAGAGTGCTAACCTTCGAGAACGGACCAGGTCCCTCTCTTAGTTTGAATGTGATTGCCTAGATCTGTCCTGACCTCCTTTTTGCTTCAGCCCTTTTGCCATGTGTATACCTACAAAAGGTATAGAATTGAACTTGCTAAAACATACATAACTGAAAAACAAGAATACATGCTCCCTTTGCATAGTCATGAGAGGGTTGATTGCTTCAGGCAGGATCCATTCAATCCGGTTTCAGCATTCCCAACTTCAGTTTGTTTATTTCAGTCAGGTCTTCTAAGAGCTTCAAGATGCTACTTGATCCACAAACGTTGAACCCATTAAGCTGCACTTGCTACATTCTCTGCCTCAGTTGATGAAAGAGCAACTGAATCTTGCCTTTTTAGTTCCCCATGAGTGAGAGATCAGCCTATAGCATAAGCCACTCCTGAGGTACTCTTTCCATCAACTTGATACCCAACATAATCAACATCACCATGTACTCCAAATCAAATGTCTACTGATTGACAAAATAGGACCAGGTCCTCTGTCTTCTGCAAATGTCTCAAGATTCTCTCAGCAGCCTTCAAATGTGATTCCTTTGTACAAGAATGGAATCTCTGAACCAAGTTCATCAACATCCAGCTTCAAGTTAGTGCCCATGAGAGTATGAATTGTCTAGGAATCCATAACATGAAACCTTTTCAGCACATTCTCTAAACTGGTACCAGGTCTCTATATTTTTTCAGACATCAATTTCCCTGATCATGCTGTGCTATGTTCTTCCCTTCAGCTAAGTCACTGTGAGTACATACATGTTCTTGACAAATTGGTCCTTGCTTAAGCCTTGGGTGAAGATGGCAGCCTCTTGATCTTTCATTTTGCAAAACTTCATGATGACATTACCCCTTTTTAACATTGTCCCGACTTCAAGTATGTTAGGCCTTTTGAGCAGCTCATTGATGTACTTTTCTGGACAGCCAAGGGTACCTTTAGAGGTTTGCTGAATGTGTAGCTCTAAGAAGAAATATTCCATCGTGCTCATTTAGAACTCACTCTTTTGAAGCCATTGTAGAAGAGGAACTTGGACAACTTATCAGCTTGTTGGGGAACTAAGTGTCATACTTTGCTTATTTCAAACTAAGCTTGATCAGCTTCTTTATTCTCACCTTCAGAATTCACATTATCAGTTTGAACTGCATCATCTTTGTTCATCACTGTCTACAGGACCAGGTTCATCATCTGCATCAGCTTCTTATGAGTTGCTGGATTCATAAAGAGGATGTTCTTCAGCAAGCTCACTGTTTATATCATCTCTCTGAATCTGAAACATCTCTTCCATCTCAGAATCTTCTTTGTTTTGCAACTTACTTCTCAATTCTTCAAGACTCATCAAAAATCACATGAACATCTTTTTCAATGCACACATTTCTTATACACCGGATAAGCCTTGCTGGAGAAAGAATATCCCACAAATATTCTTTCATCACCCTTGAGGTAAAACATCTCAATATCATCATTTTGGTCACACAAACATGTAGTACTCACCACTTCAGCCCGAAGTTCTTTGAAAGATTAAAAGCCTGCTTATTCCACTTGAAGGATGGTCTGATCTGCTTCTCTTCAACACCATCGTCACAACCTTTGTCATCTACAAATTTCATTTTGAGTAGACCGAGGACCAGGTCCTTTGACAAAAGTTTGTGCAGTAGAGAAGCACTCACATGAGCACGTCTCTTGTGTCATACCTCAGCATTTTTGCCTTGAGTACTAAGGCAATTTAGACAGTCACCACGAGCAGTATTCAGATCAGCAATGTACATGTTTTTGCATCTTTTTTTAAAGATCATCACCCGAGAGAGAAAGTTTGTGGCACCCATTTATCTGATAGGAACTTGACTTCATTTTTGTTCATCACAAATCTGTGAAACACTTGAAAGATTGTACTTCAACCATTGAGATAGTACACAACTTCAATGAAGTATTCCACAGACTTTCAAGTCCTGCTTACAACAACAATGTACCATTTCTTGCCATTTCCAAAAGAGACACCTCCACCTTGAAGTGCCTTGAGAGAGAGGAAGTTTTTAGTTTCTCCAGTCACGTGCTTTGAGCATCCGCTATTCATGAACCAACATTGACTGTTACTACCTCCTCTCACTTGCATAGCAAATCACTTGTTAGCCTTGGGAATCCACTTGAGATGGAGTTCCCAAAAACTATCAAGAGGCTTAATGAGAAACCTTCTAGTCCATGGTGGCAAATTATTCTTACTGAATCGGTATCTGGGACCAGGTACCTTATTTCTGTCAGCTTTACAAAACAATGCTTGATTTTCTTTAGTCTTTCTCAAGGATTCACAATTTCTCTTCAGGTGGCCATTTTTTCCATAGTGGGTGCATAACAAGTTATTGAACGAAAACACGTACTTGCTATAAGGATTATAGGGAGGTTCTATCTTTTGACACCCCAAGCCTTTCCCATTGTTAAATTTCTTATTTGCCAATTTTGAAAGAATTGTTGAGGAGTCAGTCCATATCAAGGACTGATTTAACTCTTCTTTAACTTTACTGAGATCATTTGCTAACTGTGAGTTTCTTTTGAGTGCTGCAACTAGCTTAGACTCAGAAATTTTAAGACTTTTCACTAAATTAAGTTCAAAGCTACTGAGTTTTCTTTTTCCACTCTCAGAAGTACCAGGTCCCTCTTTAGTTTGATGACTTTCAGTCTCTAGAATACTCAGCCTCACGTTCATTTCAGACAGCTGTGAAGTAAGGGTGGTTTTTTCATCTTCACTTCGGTTCAAATTTTCACTCAAAATAAAATTTTCAGTTGTTAACTCATCAACAGAGTCAATCAAAACAGCAACAAGTTTTCTCAATCTTCTAATTGACAAGGTATCTAAATCATTTTTAAGATCGAAGAGAGTTACCTCATCCTTGTCATCTTCATCATCAGATTTAGCCATCAATGAGAACATTGAGTTGAAGACATTTTCTTCATCCTTGACAGCCATCATAGACACATCTTCATGATGTTCAGACTCCTCAGAGTCACTGGAAGGATTTCCCCATACATCAAAGACTTTTTTCACCACCTGATCAGCATTGGCCTTTCGCCCAACATAGTCAGAGACCTGGTCCCTGCGCTTATTTTTGTCTTCTCTGGCATAGTCTTGAAACTCGTGTTTGGGGCTTGGACAGTCTCTCATGAAATGTCCTGGCTTTCCACACTTGTGGCAAAGATCATTTGCATTTATTGTTCTGCTGGAGTTGCCCTTTCTCTGAAATCCTCTATGATTTTTGACTATTTTTTGAAACCTTCTAGTAAAAAAACCATCTCTTCCTCATCTACAGAAGCATCATTTTGAGATGCCTTCAGTGCAACAGATTTGTCTTTCTTTCCTTCCTTCTTGGATGAATCCTGTAGTTTGTTCAACTCATAGGTTTGCAAGTTGCCTATCAAATCATCCATTGTAAGGGTCTTCAGATCTCTTGCTTCAGTGATGGCATTCACTTTGCTTTCCCATGATTTGGGAAAAACTCGAAGGATTTTTCGAGCTTTCTTGCTTGGATGAATGGGTTCACTAAGACAACAAAGTTCATTTGTGATAGACGTAAATCTAGAGTGCTTCTCATGAATGTTTTCACCTTCCTTTATGATACTAAGTTGTCAACATGTCAACCTTGGACTCATTAACCTGAGTAGTCCCTTCATGGGCTGTCTTCAAACAGTCTCATATTTGCTTGGCCGTTTCACAGGCCGAAATTATGTTGTATTCATCTGCTCCTATTCCACATACCAGCAACTTCTTAGCTTTATAATGTTTCACGATCTTCTTTTTGTTTATTTCATCATATTCCCTTCTAGACTTGGGAACCACCCGAGTTAGATCTCCCTCATTTACGTCCTTGCTAGGAACATAAGGACCATCAAGCACCACATCCCAAAGCTCGCTGTCTTCTGCCATAATATAATCTTGCATTCTATTCTTCCACCACCCATAGATCTGGTCGTTGAAACAAAGAGTACGTGTGATAGATTGACCTTCTTCCAGACTTGGTGGAGCCGTCATTCCTTCAAGATCTGTTCTCTTGGTGTTAACCAGATAGAGAATCCAACGCTCTGATACCAATTGCTAGAATGTATGCGTCCACGATTATCGATGGGACCAGGTCCTCAACACAGTTACAATAATACATAGTAAAATAAATATTGAAAGTAAAGATTGCACAAACAACTTTACGTGGAAACCTCCTTACTCAAGGGAGTAAAACCACGACCTGGCCTGCCAAAACTTTTCAAACTGCTTTCACTAGTCTTCTCCAAGCAAAAGTAAAAGGCAGTTTACAAAATGAGATTAGCATGCTAATCTCCACACTAAGCAATACCTCATATCACTTAGCTGAGCCAGAGCAGATACAACACTGCCCACTAAGCTATCACCCCTAGATAACTTAGACTTTTCTAAGCAGATACCACACCGCCCACTAAATCAACTAGCTCCTAGATGACTTAGAATTTGACTAAGCAGTAAAATAATGTTGCCCACTAAACCAATTAAACTCAACTGATTTAGGCTTTAGAAACCGAACAAAAAATCTAATTCCTTTATAACATAGGAATAGATTTACAATTTAAGCACATAAGATACACAACTCTAAATACAACAAAACACTTCAATACTCCATCTGGTCCCTTGTTGATAAGAGCAGTGTTCTTCACTGAAGATGACCTTCTCTTTTCAAGATTGTGAATTTTCAGAGAAAATTCAAGTTTTGTTTGTCAAATCTTGAGTTTGTGTTTGTTGGAAAGAGATAATATATTGAAAGTGAACACAAACTCCTTGAGCCAATCTCATTGGCTGAAGGTCTGCTGTTAGAAAAGTTGTGCACCTGCCGTAGCAGCTTTTCTAACGTATCAACTTTTCTGACAGCTATATTTTCACTTTTCCATATCGCAGTCTTGCAGGGACCATGCCCTTTGCAAACTTCTTTATGAGTTCTTGAAAGGTTTGCTGGCTGACTTCCTTCTTTGGATGAATGAATTAATTATGGTGTTTGTCATGTATAAATTATCAACCATAAAGAATTATTATCCATTGGACAAACACACTTCTCCGTTCTGATTGGTGTAGTACGCTGACGCCTCACCAACCTCTGACACGACAACTTTATAGTTGTACCCCATTATGCATCTGATGGAGATGATAGAGAGAACTTTGTTGGGGACTAGGTCCCTACATTTGTAAGACACTGAAACAGACAATCTCGTCAGCTCTTCCTATTGGTGTAGGACACTGCACTTTTCACTTATCACCTGACGTGACAACTTTACAGTTGTACCTCATTTGAATCTGGACGAGAGCACTCTGCGGGGGACCAGATCCTTGCATTTGTGAGGATCATCAAAACACCTAGAATATAACAGAATTACTTCCAACTTCCATTTCTTCGTTTCCCAAAATAAAGTATTGATGTAATATACCATAAATATAATAAATTATCGTTGAAACAAAATTAGCAAAAATGAATAAATAAATTTTTAGGATGAGACATGGATATCTTTCTTTCTTAAAGGAGATTCAAGGCCATTGCAGTATAATTTACACTGATCCAACAATATATCTCTTGACTTATCCCCCTTCAGGATACAACAACCCAACAACATCGTACAACTCCAAATTAGTAGAAGGATCTGAAGCTCCACATTAGAACATCTTCCTTCAACATATACTCTCTTTTATATAGTGAATATAGTTGAAGACTTAAAATATTTTTTTTGTCTAAATTCTCTCTTTCACTACTACATACTACAATATTTTTCCACACTTCACATATTTCATCTCATCCCAACACAAAGGAAGATACACCATTTATTTATAATTGAAGAAGTCTCGTGTAATCAATGGATAAAATGAGGGGTAGTAATGTGGGTAGATAAATGTAATTGATGTTACATAAGTTATAAGAAACTAATGATCATGTGAGTTACAATAATTTAATGACCATGAGAGTTACAAGAACTAAGGGGTCGTTTGGTTGGGAACAAGTTATCCCAGGATTAGTTATCTTGGGTTAGCTCTCCTGGGATAACTTATCCCACCATATATATGGGATAACTTATCCCATCACTATGATATAAATGGCCGGTGGGATAAATTATCCCAAACACGACAATTAAACAAGATACAAAAAAATTATTTCATCGCTATTTTCTTATCCCATCACTATTTATTTTTATCCCTCACACCAAACGACCCCTAATAGTCATCTTTTACCACAATCTATACCCATTAACATATGCACTTAATATTTTATGTTAATAATAAATTAAAATTCATATACGCCAACATAAAGTTTATTCATTTCATTCAGTTTGAACATCTCATCACAAGCATACCTTTTCCCCACAAAAATACCCTTTTTTACAATTACATATTGATCAGATTCAATAATGTGTTTGAAGCCTGTTTTATTAAGAAGAAAACTAGACATCAAATTTTTAAATGATTTTTTTATGTAGACAAGTGTATTCTATATATTCGAGCATAAATATAATGTAATTATTTTTTTAATATTATCCGTGCATCGTGCGGACACGTATACTAGTATAACTTAAAAATTCAAGTTGCATCTTTCAACAAAACTTCAACTTCACCTCATATAATTTCGTCTCACAATTCCGTCTCACATGATCAAACATACCCTAAAATTAAAAAATAACTCAATACAATTTTACCAAATAAGCAAAAGTTCACCCAAGTCATATGAAAAAAAAAAAAAAAAACAAGTCATTTGTGTTATAAAATAAAGACATATTACTAAAAATCAAATAAAAGGGGCACAAAAAGTAGAAAATAGAGAGTAGAAGTAAAAGTAGTAACTATTTAGGTGTATATTCATTAACCAATTGTAATGTCTTTTATAGACACAAAAGGGTAATACATTACTTGGAAAAGGAAACTTTCTACAATAATTTTACTTGGTCATCAATTTGCCACAATGTAAAGATTACATGGTCATCCATTTTTACAACACTCCTCCTTGAATGTCCATGTCAAAAAAAAATTTGTTGAGCTACTTGTAAGCTGCTTTTAAAAAACCTGCTTGTGTGAGCTGCTTATAGGAATCTGTTTGCGGAGTTTCTTATAAGTTGTATAGAGGTATTTGCTTGCGGATCTTTTTGTAAGTCGTCTTCTTGATTTTAAGCTTATCCAAGAAAATTGTGTAATGGTATCACAATATGATGTATTTACTACTCATTGAAGTTCATCAATAGATAATGTATCTCATTAAAACCATACTAGGAAAAACCCAATGGGAAAAATCTTAGTGAAGGAAAAAGAGTACACATATCTTTGTAAGTTGTAATACGCATTGGTATCTTCCTCATTAAAAACCTTACCAGAAAAATTCAGTAGGACAAAATCTCGGCTAAGGAAAAACAAGTGCAGCACGTATTATACTCCCCTGATTAAAACATCACTTAACAACTCGAAGATGACACATTCCAATCTTATATCTCAATTTCTCAAAGGTTGAAGTTGATAATGCCTTGGTGAATACGAAGTGTAAAACATCGGCTACACCCTTCTTTTGAAGATCATGAATAAGAAGAAGAACTTTGATGAAATATATTTTGCTCAGTCTTCTTTGATGTATCCTCCTCTTAGTTGAGCACATGAGGCATTGTCTTCATATAATGTTGTTGGAATATCTCTTTTCGAAGGAAGATCACACATTCGCTGGGTATGTTTATTGATCTCAACCAAATATATTTTTAAAAAACACTCAATTCGTTATCTTATCGACATAGACAAATTGCTCGTTTGATTTGTTAGCAGCAACAATCGAGCACTGACAAACATTTTCAGTAAAATTGATTGTCTTGTGGAATGATTTGAAATGACAGTATTTCCAAATGAAAATATATAACTTTCATGAGTTCAAACTTCATAATTTCCTACAATTTCACGATCAATAAATCTTGACACAATTGATCAGAATAAATAATTTATATCGATATTTTATTCACTCTAATATCTCCACCGATAAGAGTGATGTTATATTTTGCATCCATACCAATAAAATTATTTACCATGAATAATAATAGTAGGATACATAAGTTCACCAATTGCACTATGAAATGGTACTTTCTAACCATTTTAATGAGATCAAAATTGATCTTTATAATATGTGATCTTACAATCATTGGGGTACTATTTAATGGAATCGCTTTATAACCTTTTAAATCCTTCAAGGATTTTCATATAATATTTACTGTCTAGCTAGACATGATAATCATTCATCATGCGTATTCAAAATTTTCATATATTGTCAGATGGAAAAAAACCTCATTGCATTCACCTTGGGAGTATACATCTCCATACAATAACGTCAGGACTTTTGCGAAAAATCTTTATTTTTCAATGTACAACTCATACTTTATATTTTACGATTTTGCTTATCGCACAATAATTCATTTGTACCCCCACTAACATTATATCTTGGTATATGGACAAAATAAGTCCAAAACATCACTTTTCCAAGTGAATAGAAAAATACTTGAATTGTATTTTTTTTTGGCCAATCATTTAGCTGTCAACTTTCGACAAATTTAATTTCAAGATCCTCATTACCATTTATAATTTTGAGAGCCACATTATATTCAAGTTATCGTCGACGGTTATTTGATATCGATTCTAATGTGGCATAACTTATCAATCTCACTTTATTTTTCATCATTTACAGGTACCTGAACCTTTGCCAAGGTTTTATAAAGTGTTATGTCACGGTGCTCTTTCTAAAGCATTGCCTCATTCTTATGACCATCTTGATCATTTGCTCTTTTTCTTCTTCAAGAAATTTTATCTTTCAAATCGATTAATTTATCACGCTTCAGGCGTGCCATAAATTGTGTCCTTCAAGGACTTTTCATTGGAGCATTCATAACTGGATTATAACATAGGGTTAACGAATGCGTCTGACAATTGACTTAAATTATCTCTTCAACAAGGATCATATAATTCATTATGTATAATTTATTTTCCAGTTGCTTATCTGCCCCCCCCCC